AATTAATGGAGAATTCTGACAGCTAGTAATAGTGGCTCTTTATGTCCAACAGCAGAAGCAGAGCCGTGTACTCTTGTGAGAAGCTCAACTTCAGAAGAGTCTGAAGGAGAACATGGCAGTGAGGTGAGCAGCATGAGTTACATTTCTTAGAAGGCCAAAGGGCTTTGGGAATAATGCTCATTTATCAGGTGTATGCCTGTAGAATGGTGCCGAGCAATTTATTCTTTATTTTAGTTACGGGGTGATAATATGCATCCCATTGCTGTAATACAACTAAAGAGGTGTTTAGCTTGTCAACATTCACTACGAGCATTTTTCAAAACTTTGAACTGAGGCTGTGTACCAATAGCTTGATTATTTGCACACCTTTAAGTATTGTTAGGCCATTAATTTCGATTGCATGTGTATGATTGTTGAAGCATCTCCTGAGAATCAAAGTCAGAAGTATAAGACTTCATTTTTTTAGGTCATCGAAACCCCCGCAAAACAACAAGCTCTATCTTCCAACTATTCTGAGTCATTGCCGAATGTGGATTTGACACCTCCATGGAATTTCCAGGCACGTATAAAATGTCACCATAAAATAAAGTTCAAAATGTAAAAATACAGGATTTCTACAGAAAAGGAAGCATGTCTTTACTTAAATGCAAATTATTAGAAATCTGTGCAATATTACAAAATTCAGTATAAATGCTAGGACATTAAGCCCCGACTCTCCTCTGTCCAATGGTGCTAGAGATTAATGCCATGAGCAACATTCAAATGAGCACCATTTGAAGGGGCCACATCTTCATTGCAAGTTGGGCCTAGTAGTTGTTGAGTGGGATAAGTAATAAAAGTAATAACAGATCACAACAAGCATTGGTGCTAAATGTGGATAAAGGGACATGTCTGGTCTTGTGATGTTTTGAGTGCAGGTTATACCAGTTCAGTCTTCGCCCAAAGTGTCCCTGTTGAGATTCAAACTTATGTCTTGTTTCTTTAATTTTCCCATATTTCCGGATGGTCCTTTTGTTGTTGCCTCATCAGAAAATTCGTTCTGACAGACTTATTGAATAGCAATGAAACTTCAAATTTCATGGTCCCGTTCGACTACAAATCCTCTGTGCTTTGTTGGCAATGGAACCATGCTGGTAAATTAAATGAAACAATATCTGCGCTTGAGAATGATTTCGAATGAAATTATAAAAAAATGGAATTACTCCCCAGTTAAGACAATGATACATGCTTTCACCATCAAACATCATGCAACAGCAAAAAAAAAAAAGAATACGATGCCCACACATCTAGTGCCACATGGGAAAAAAAAATTGTCAGAGTGAGTGTTTCACTGTCTTCCATGATGGTCATGTTTTTATGCATGACGGTAGGATGCTTGCTACCATTGGACAGAGGTTAGGGCTTTGTCAGTGGTGAAAAAGATGTGTAATTTGCCTCATTTAAAGTCCATAAAATACAAGGCGTTCCTAGACTAGGGAACAAACACCATATTTTCAATGTGTTAAATATAAACTAAATTGCTCCTTTTTCATAAACAACAACACCATATTTGGCAAAAATGTTTCACAGATTAATATGGACTAGTATATCATTTCTTCAACAAAATATTTAATCAACTTTATATTTGGGTGTACAGGTGGATTCAGGCGATGGAGTGGGTCCTAGTAGCTCTGCACAAACACAAGTATATTTTATTAGTAATGTGACACCCAAAAATGTGACACAACAAGGATAGTGTACATTACTGTGTCTAGTTCTTTAATGGTGACTGCATCTTAAAAAGGTGGGAAACTGAAACCCTGAAAAGATACAAAAATAAAATTTCCATATAAATACAGTGCTCTAGGAAAGACCAATCCAGCAAAGTAAATTTTAAGTAAAAACCTAATAATCCTCAAAGAATCTAGTGCAATCTAGTGTCAAACTCAATGACACAATTTGCTTCTAAAAGTAGAGTCCAGTTAAATTTCAAAATTGAACTAATACAAGGTAAGTGAATGCTTTAACTTGCAAAGACAAAAATGGGAAATAACTAAAGCAAGTGTCACAGCAATGATCTCTAAGCATACTATGGACTCAGAAAACCACAGACTCAATACAGTCCACTCATCATCATAACCTTAGGATTCATAAAAACAAACTTAGGATAAATGAAAATGCAAAGAACAACATTATGTCGAAATACATTGTAACATAACAAAATAATACGCTAACCAATATGCAGATTCGCACTCTCAATCAAGTGTAAAAAAGGAAAATTACATGAATATGCTGCATCTTATAACTTAAGGACTAGTGTGCCAGTCTAATAAGACACTGCAGGTATCTTAGTTAGTATCTTAGTATCTGAGTAATATGTATACAGTCAAATAAGGAAACCTATTCTTGAACTATGCGTACTCGAGAAGTCAACTGCATCTTATAACTTAAGGACTAGTGTGCCAGTCTAATAAGACACTGCAGGTATCTTAGTTAGTATCTTAGTATCTGAGTAATATGTATACAGTAAAATAAGGAAACCTAATCTTGAACTATGCATACTCGAGAAGTCAACTAAATGTGAACAAGAAATAAAGTGAATATAAATCAAAGTAAGGAAATTCTAAATCCTTCAAATCCATGTAAATAGAATATATCGCTAAAGAGAAAGTCATCAAAAGGCTGATCTTTCTTTAATATGTAGTAGCTACAACAACACAGCGTCTAGGTTTCCTAAGACTATCATCAATGAATCCACGCTTTCAATAACCAGAGTAACACTTGAGAACACTTGAGCTAACCTCCAAATTAATCAGAAAGTGTTCACAGATGCTAAGAGACTAAGAAACTTTAAAGATAAGAACAATTACTAAACATTATACATTGTAAATGAATTCTTACCCCAGTCTAGTCATCCAAGAAATCTTGAGGCAACTAAGTACATCGTACATGCGTGGAGAATAACGTAGAATGCTGTGTGTGGTCTGAACAGTACCAGTGCTGGTGGTGGAATGACTCACTCAAGACGGCGCAAGATGGCGAACTTCACCGTGAATGCACGTAAAACGTTGTAATCGCATAGGTGCCATTTGAGCAAGCGATACGCCTGCGCAATGCACATTAATGCACAGGCGTAGGCGCCGCGCGCGGCAGGCACGTGCACCCGGTGAGCTTGCGCCCAAGCATTACCGTAAACTGCGCAGGCGTATCGCTTGCTCAAATGGCATCTATGGTAATTACGTCTTTTGGGCAGAGTTATTCATCTTGTGCCTTCGGCGCTATACGATCTTTGCTCAAGACAAATGCTAAGTCTGAGGTTTACCTCAAGGGTCAAGCAAAGGCACTGCGCAGGAGGGATATGTAAATGAGCTGTCACAGTAATGTAGGGTTTTTTTCCAAAATAGTCTGGGTGCGTGATATTTTGATCCTTTATAGTGAGATTCCAGTTGAATCGAATTCCAAGCCCTTACATTCCTTTAATATGAAGCATTCATGAATTTAGTTATGCATTTCTGTTTTTTATGTTAAAGTGCTACTGCCAAATTCCATGTTTTGGCTGCTTGAGGGCCTATGTTAGTAAACATTAATATGAGTAGGATATTGCATTTTGTCATTGACCATGTTTCATGATTGTATAAATCAGTGAAGTACCAAGTTGTCATAAACAAGACAGACGTGAGTTTAAGTTTTGAAAAGCAGAGGCATTTGAATGGTTCAGCTCTGGGAAGTTTTCAGTGTTTCGACAGTGATTACAGAAAGTTTCATTTGGCATATGCATTGACTAGAAGTGCAAAACTGTAGGGAGGGGGAGGGGGCAAAATCCCCATTTTTGAAGACATGGCAAGGTTTTTAATTTTTTCAGGGGGGGAGAACAGCTCCCTACCCAATAAGACTGTCTGCTAGTGTTTGCACACCAATTAATATTTTTTGGGGGGAGGGGGCTGGTTGACTTTCCTAATTCTCCCTCCACTTGATACACAACTGTACTTTTTCCAAACCCATATATGACAGTGGAAATGTCTTAAACTATAACAGGTTTATTGAGAACAGAAATGTTTCTATAAAATTATAGCAGCTTTGATAGACTTTTGACTCTAAACATCTTAGGAAGTTGATTTTTGTACAGAGAGCAGTGCAAAGAAGGGGTTCTTTGGTGGTTACTATTTTTTAGGCACACTAAATGGTTGTCATTTTTCTGTTGTTGTGCTGTTGATATCATTTTGAGTTATAGTTTCTAGTTCACTTTTAATATGAGGGTACATAAGAAGACAGGAATTATATGCCTACTCACTAGTTGGTAGAATTCTGAAATTGACTATGAATGTGCATGACCTGCACTAGTGACAGTTCTATCTGCTAGGTGTTAGAAGTAGGTTAGCAGTTTGCTTTCTGACAGACGTATATGTCCTCAGTGTATTAAGCATAAAATGTGTTTAAAATTGGTTTAATACAGATTCCCCCAGAGTAAATGCCTGCAGGACACCTACAGTATGTATGCTAAAATGAGAAAAGATATTTCTGCTGTTTGTGTTAAAAAAGATCTTGAATAAATTTGAACTTACTACTTGTATATTTTTCAATTAATCCAACTGAATTAAAATCAGCATATTTAAGAAAACACAAACCTCCCACATGATATTTTTTTAGATTTTATTTATTGTGCAACTTGACATACAAACAGAAAGCTAAAAGTCAATTTCAAGAAGCCAACTTTACACTATTGGCAAGTTTGCCTAAACAAAAACTGCTGTTTTGAGGAATGATTAGTCTCGTGTACAGCTGGGGAGTTGTATTATTCCTACAGATTGCAGTGTGTTGGATCAATGCTCTGGTACAAGTTTGATTTTCTGCATTTTCTAGCAAAAAGCAGTGTTTTGAACAATACTGGGGTGATGGCTGAATTCAGTGCTGAAGGTGTATTTCATTAGTATTGCTATTGTGACTTCAAATAACATTTATTGGAATTCATCATACAAAATGTATCATTACAGAAAATGATTTCTGGAACCATACTGACTCACAACTCTGTAACACATGTATGTTAATTATGTTTCCTTTTTTCAGGTAACTTTCAGAAAGTCCACACTTTGCCACATCTGTGCTGACAGGGAGACAGACAGTTTTCTTGTGCCTTGTGGACATACTTTTTGCTTTCTGTGTGCAACACATATGCATGTGAGTGACCAACAGTGTCCTTTTTGTAAGGTTGGCTCACAATCCGTTGGGAAACTCTATTGACATGATCTGCTACGCTCATCTGGCAGTTTGGAAGTTTTACAGTCAGTTATTAGTTACTGTTGAGATAGTCAATAAGGCATTATTTGTAAACAATCCTGCAGCTTTACAGTCTTTCACAATCAGTTATTTGTTACGAGTGAGAAATATCAATGAGAAATTATGTGTAACAATCCTGTAACTTTAAAGTATGTACAATCAGTCATTTGTTACTGGTCAAAGAAATCAATGAGAAATTATATTTAACATTCTTATTTGTTACTGGTAATCTGTCCTGTGGTTTGATCATTGTTTTTAAAGTGTTAAATAAGTTAAAAGTTTCTCTTGTTAACTAAAGTTGGAAAACTATGTTACTGCATTTGTTTCGTTGAGATTTCTTGTGGGAGAGGCTGTGAAAGGTCAGCTTTTTTTTATTTAGGCCTGTGGGTTATAGTCAAATCTTTTCATGAACCAAATCTTTTAATGCATGTCGATTCCAATATACAGATAATTTTATACAATCAGATTCTTGGGAGTATTTTATATCACAACTCATCAAAATTCATTAATTAAGGTATACTGCCATTATCTTAGTGATGTAAATCTTACTCTGGTGACGAATGTACCATTGGCTAGAGAAGTGTGTGGAAAAAGTATTGATTTAAATTGAAATCAAAACTTTAGTCTGTAACATGATGGCTGTCATACAGTTGCCCTTTGTCAGAAAGTGTCCATGCGTTTTTTCTGAGGTTTCCATAACATGGTTTCTTGTTCGTGAATGCTAAGTAGCATACCAAGTGAACTGATTTTCGGTAAAAGAATTGATTCATTCATTCTGATAAATGGGCAATGGCTGCATTAGTTTTTCTTGATGTTGAACTTAGTTATGAGTGTAGAAAATACATTTTTGATACCTCTAAAGGGATATTAGAAAAATGTTTGGATTGAACAGGTGCACACAAGCTTTGAAGGTTTGGTTCCAGTCTTCCCTGATAACGTTTTGCTTTGCCATTTAGTTTTCCTTTAGCTTTTATACCTGTGAATATCTGCTGTTTTACATGTTTTATATACACATGGTTTATTTGTATAATCTATATTTCTAAAGGAATATATACACAATTAAATGTTCTTTCTCTTTACTTAAAAAATGAAGTGAACGTTACATTTTGCTGTTGTTGGTTGTTATTATTATTTTCATTATAGTCATTATTATCATTTATTCCACCAAATTTGGAAAACAAGAAAAAAATTACAATCACAGATATCGGTAATATATTCGGCAAGTTTAACAAATACAAATAGCGAGGGGGGTTGGAGGGTGCAGGTGGTTAGGGGAGGGGTGTAGTAGGTTGAAGGAAGGGGTGGAGTGGGGTGAAGGAAGGGATGGAGTGGGTTGGGGGAGGGGTACAGTGGGGGGGGGGTTAGGAAGGAGAAGTTCAGTGTGAGGGAGGGACCTATGGCGGAGTGGGTGGATGCTGGTCCAGGGGAGTGTTGACTGGGGGGAGGGATGACTGTGACGGCACGCAGGTTCTGGTTATGCCCAGGAAAGGACATGGGATTCAATTATCCTCTCTCTGGCTCTGTATATGTATTCACTGTCTGGGCCCGGGGCCACCTTTAAAGACATGGCAGGCACTGCCTTGCATGCCTAGCAACTGCATGGGCTGAGGGCTTTGAATGAGTAACATGTAGTTCGTGCAAAGAACAAATATTAACCAAATACAACCTGAGCAATACTATGACAATTACTTTATAAAGAAATGTCCATAATCATAATAAACATAATGGTTCATGAAAATTTAACTCTACCGTTTCCTTTTCCTAACTAACTGAGCTGTCTGTACAAAACCAACAATACTTTTGCCGCCTTAATTAAAGTTGGTGTAGTCTTGTTTCAAGTCAAAGAGTGGTTAGTCTCCACTCAAGTTGCATTGACTAATTACGTACAGCAGTGGAAGTAAAGTGGGAAGAGCCAGAGAAATGGAAGAAAGAACAAACGCCACAACTAGTCATCCATTACAACTGTATGCAAAGAAAAGACAACCCAAACTTACGACGGCCAGGATGACTCGAAAGCCTGCTCATGCAATCCGAAGCCAATTAAACAATTGTGAGGGATGTCACGCATATTGTACATATTGTGAGTATGCTGGTGTGTAGCAACAGCGCCATCATGCGGTGGCAGGGGCATTACCCATGTTTGCCGTCGCCTCCGCTGTTGGCCTTTCTACTGCTGGAATTTAAATAGCAATAACACCAGCAGAGATCCGAGCCCAGGGTGTTTGTTGTGCCCGTTCATGCGCACCCCCCCCTCAGATAGCACCCCTCCCACACAATCAATAATTTACCCAAATACTACAATGAGAAAATATACAAAATAAAAAAGTAAAAGTGTAAAATGTACAACAAATTGTGAAAACAAAAAAACAAAATACATGTAGATAGTTTAATCTGCAAATAAATCCATCTAAAGTGTAAGAAAATGAAAATGTAAAATAATATTTGTTCCGTCTGTGGGTCGGTTGTTTGTTTGTTTGTTTGTTTTTGTTCTTTGTTCTCTCTTATTGAAGATCACCAAAGAGGCCTTGTTTTAATTATAACAAATAATTTTGCAAGTTGCTAAACGGGCCAATCTATTGTGGCTTAAAAACCATGCCCTCAGACACATAAGAAAGATTAACCAAGACATTATGTCCAATATAAAGGTTCATGCGGCAGAAATAAGGATTCTGTTATAAGTATTTATAGTTGCATTGGACAAAAGTAAGCGTTAAACATAATAAAGACCTTAGAAAGGTGACTTCTTTGAACAATGATTTCCATCCCGCCTGCACCAAGTTCCTCATCTAAGGAGGCTTTGAAGAGCCAAAAGCACTTAGCAAGAAGGTAAATCATAAACGTGCCCCTTTACCAGCCGGCCTTACTTAAAAAAATTCAAGCTGCGGAGAACTGCCAAAGCCCCTTTAATGATCCTGTTGTTGTTGAGACTGCAACCTTTAGACCAGTGACGACAGAACGATTTTCAAAGTGAGGGGAGGTACGTGAGACAATCTGGCTTCAGCCGTTAATCATAGAGCAATCTATCAAGCCCACCCAATTGAAGGGCCCGCGAAAAGCGTGGGGAAGTCCCCCAGTTGAAAATGTGAGACACTGCACCCCCCCCCACATGCGATGAGCCTTCCACCCGATTTAAAGTCATCTCTGCCCATGACAGTTTAAAACCCATTTTGTGAACATTAAATTTTGACTGCCCTACAGTTCGCTCAAGGCGTTAATTTTTATATATAAAGGGTATCCAGAGGTCTACATGCACTTCTCCTGGCTCGCTTGCGGGACTCACATTTCACCATCACAATAATTATGTTGAGTTGGCTTGAAAGCATCACATTTATTAAAATGTATAAAGAGGGGGTATAGAAACGAAATGAATATTATTGGCATTTGTAAGTAGGGCGTGTAGTCATTTGATACAAAAGGGCAGCCTTTGTTACAGTTGATGTGTCTTCTTTGAAATAGCACCCAATTATGCGGTAGGGGGCCTGAGGGGGCCAGTGCCACTATCCCCCAACGAATTTCCAGTGCATTCAGCCCCCCCCCTCCGCCAGAAAAAAAAGATTGCCCCCTTTTCCTTTCCCCCCAAAATGAGTTAAAATCATATTGAAACACATCCGTAAGATGCTTTGCTTCGTGTTTTCTTTTAGTTAGCCAGTTGCTTAATAGTAACAATCTTTATGTCAATGGTTATAGAGCGGTAAAGCAATATTTTCAACCACATACATGTAATAATTTACTCACTAAAGTGCATAAAACCCTCCCATGAGATGCTGATGCTCGGCCCGTTCACCCCTCCCCCCCAAAAAAAATCCTAGCTACGATGCTGCAATTTCTGTCACTTCGTTCACAGCTGACAGAACAGTGACCAATTTTCATTTTATTTATTTTTTATTTATTTTTTTTTAATTTTGTTTTAACAGCGTCTATTTGGGGAATTGTACCACTTCGTTTGGCGGCCTACGGTGGTCTTGACTATTTTCTTAAATTTACAAGTGGATGAGGGGAACCTTGCGATTTCTTGAGAATGCATGCTGCTTACAAAAGAACATCGAATACAATGTTGTGTCGAAGTGCTGCTGACAGGGAGACTTTAGCAAGACGTCCTTCTCCAACTAAGGCAACAAATTGGTTCAATATTCGCAAGTACCAGCATGAAAGAACCAGCCAAAACTTGCTTTTCACTGATTTATAATTCGATTTGAAAGGCCCTTTAATGGTTGATTGCATTTCGGATGAGAGTTAACTAGGGTTCACACAGCCTGTTAAACGAGGGTGTTTAATGCTTAAAGGGAAGTATAGGGGGGGGGTGAATTATGACAAGGGGAGCGGGTTAGCGTAGCGGTTCTTTCCTCGTTTGCACAAATGAGGCCCGGGTTTGAGTCCTGGCTTGGCCCAGGCGTTTTAGTGCATTTGGTTTCCAGTCCCTTCTCGCTTTCGCAGGTACTCCGGTTTCCTCCTGCCTCTAAAACTGGACCTTCCTCCCAACTCCGTAATGTGATGCTGATTAATAAAGTGTATGAATAAACGTACAGTTATTGGCGCAAATAGCCTGAGTTGCTGAAACAAAACAACAACGAATTATGACAGCATTCAGGGATAGTGTGGGATTTGATTCAATAACTTTGTTAAAAGCGTGAAAACTCAGTCTTAGGAGGCCTGGTACCTGTATGGCAGAGCTGGTTATTGTGGTTGATTTAGCTTCTGTGCGGAAAAAGCTCATAATCTGTTCATCAGTTAGCACATTTAATGAAACGAAAAAAACACAAACCATTCCAATATGCCCTGAAAACGATTACATTCGATCATTTCCATGTATTCCGGAGATGTATGCCCCAATTTCTACCTGGAAAAGCTACAGTTATTGGGAAACCTTTGATGACAAAATTTGAGCCAGCACAAGCTCGCACCCATAATTAATAATGCGTCACAAATGCGACGCGAAGGGAAAATAGACGGCGCTATTCAAAAGTCTGGCTTGGGTTGAGCCACAGTCTGAAACAGCTCAATCTATCTCCCCTTATTGTCCGATGTAGGTAAGACCAAACATTAGTTCTTGTCAATAGGTTCAGATGAAGCCACTGGCGTTTCGGGGGTGGGGGTGGCAAGGGTGACATTCTGTCCTCTCCCCTTGGGGAAGTTTTGCCGATTTTTTAAAAGAATTTTCGGGTTACTTTTGCTTTTTATTTTTCGTAAGTAGGACTACATATGCTGACAATCCTGATCATTCAACCACATTAAATTTGTAATTTCGTAGGGAGAAAATGCGAGTGTATTATTGCAGTTTGCATTGAATTAAATGCACTTTTGCCATACACCTCTTTGCTCTCATGTGCAGACAAATTCAAATTGAATGGCTGATGACCTTGAACTGATAAAACTGTACGAACCATTCAGATTTATTGTAGAATCATTTCTGCAATATGATCTATAAATAACCAAAACATACTGGCCAGAACAAGAGTCTCTTAAAAATGCAGATTGAAACTTCGAGATTTTTAAGCACAGTGTTTTCTTAGCAAACCCCTTTAATTTCGCCCCCTCATTAAGTAAACAAATCTTATGCCCGGTTGCACGTATCTCATTTTGAATGTGTGAAGACCCAGTAATCAAAGGCACAAAAGACTCGGACTGCGGAAGGAAGATTTCATCAGTTTGTTTCATTTGTTTAGTTGTGTTCTTTTCTCTTTCTGAAATATGGCACCATCCTGCATAGGTCATCATGGTGAGACAACGATGCCAAAATGTGCATGTACATTTGGAGAGAGGGGGTCCTACATTTTGACATCAATTTTGGGCAGCGTTAGGTAACCTATATCACCAAGGTCTGCCGGGAACAGCTTCCAAAACATTATGCCATACCCATAATGCAGTGAAAAATTATGTATCATGTCCTATGCAATCCAGGATCTGAAATGATGACGCTTGTGCTTATTACTGACTGACATCAGTTAACTCTAACAGCCGTATATACAGTATATAAGCTTTTGGCGGTCCTGGGCATTTCAAAATTGTCTGTATTTTGTCCTAATATGTCTGTAATCACTTGTACAAATTGCTCACTGCATCCACACGGAGGATAAACCCGAGGGTATTGAGTTTCTATTTCATCAATTTCATGCCAATCATCCAACAGCGGTTTGAGCTGATTTGTCCTCCCCAACAGTTCTGGTGTGTAATACATAATATTTGGTTTCCCAGATGGACACTCATTTAGGCGTTGATGTCTGATAGTATGGCTGTTCCACATGTGTACAGGCTTGTTACATTCTTCTTGCAGGAATGAAATAAAGCAAAACCTGAGGTATTCCACGTGTACGCCATTTGTATTGTCGAAGATGCCACGGTCCCTCATGTCTTTAAAAAAGTTAATCCAAAAATGCATCATCACGCGGCGGAGTTGGGCCCAAAAGCTCTCCATGCACTGGTTGCTTATTGATCGGCCACACATAAAACTATCAATCCCGATAGATCATCTCCATGATCCATTCTAAGGGCTATCTGCAGTAACCTGACAATGCTATTCTCCCCGTTCCCCAATCACACCTCAGTATTGTTGGCATACCTCTTAGGCGTTTCACCTGCTGAAGAAAGAAACCATCAATGTACATTGGGTTGTTGTTGCTTGAGCCAACGCAGAGCCACAAAACCTTCCACAAAAATCCATCAAAAGCACCATGCAACTGCCAATCCAAATTGTTTTAGCTTGTCATAGCCGTCAATGTGCCAAATATGATCAGCGCCACTTCTTAATATTGCCTCCTAAAAAGTCGTCCTTGGGATCCCATCCGAACTCCTTCAGTATCTAGAATTTTAAGAAGCATCCTTGTGGCATTCTGAGTTACTCGCAAACCACACTGATAGTTAAGTCTATACCACGTGAGGCGGTATCCCAGTAGCCTACTACTCCCACTTAACTCGTTTCTGATGGCAGCAATTATTTCATGAGCAGGTGCAGTCCGTCTGAGAGTCCTGCGCAATCCTATGGATGATAACAACCGGCGCAAGTGGCGGATGCTCAGGAAGATTCTGTGACGCAGAGCCAGAATCAAACAAATTTGCACTGCTGTGTAACCCTGATGAAAATATGTTAAAATAAGATGCTCTCTATTTAGACTCCGTGCCACGGCGATGAAATCAGCATCATGTTGTGGGTAGCTGCCTCTTGAACAAGAAGTGCAAAGACAACCTAAAGACGAAAAGACAAAAAAAAAAATCATCATGGAAATGTTGACAATCCCAACAACTTTGAAAATGGGAAATACAATCGGGAAGGGGCAATTCCTTTTAATAGGAATGATAGGATTATATTATGCAAGCCCTGAAATATTGCAAAAATGCGTCCATCGATGTGGCACAATTATATTCGTAACCACTTTGACCATGACAGCAGGTAAGTTTACGTTCAGAACAGACAGGAGATACAATTCAGCATGTTCAGAACCTAACGGATCACGTTTGGCTGAAACGGTACTCAAACGCCCCAAAACAGTTGAGAGGTGTGATTAAAATAATCACTAATTTAATAGGAACCATGATGCATGGGTCCTATTCTTGGCTGGAGTTACTGCCCAAACGATTGCCTGTTCATGGAATGAAACATGCATAATCACTTTCGCCCTTTGACATTCGAGCTGTGTTTGTTATACGAAAAGATGTCTTTCCCACGGTTATCACAGAAAGGCGACTTTCAAAGATTAACATCTCGGAAAGACGTCATTTCAGGATTGGAAATCATGAACGGAAAGACGCCTTTCTGTGACATCATATCTTGGAAAGACGCATTTCCGTGATAGTTTATCTTGGAAAGCCGTCTTCCTGTGATATTTTATTTTGGAAAGCCGTCTTTCCACGATGTTATATCTTGGAAAGCCGTCATTCCGTGATATTATATCTTGAGAAGACATCTTTCCCAATCACACTATCAGAGAAACACGTCCGAAATTCAGGGTATTCCGTCTTTCCACCATAATTTATCTCGGAAACGCGATATTGTGGATGGTCATTTTAAGCTTCCGTACCTAGAGCATGTCTCCCAAATAAAAGAAATGAAACTGACCTATACCCGATGAAATCAGATTGATTATACAACCTTTCCCTTCAACGAATGTTATTTTGTTCAATGTTATCATGAAAAAAAAACTATATGTGAG